TGAAAATGTGGCCTTTCATGGAGAACTTCACTTCTTTTGGAAGACATAGGTTTTGATGGAAACCTTATACTTCATGGAAGACGTGGGATTAAATGGAAGCACTCGGATTTGTTGGAAGACGTTGGATTTGATGGACTCCCCTCACATCTGATGGAAGCCATGGGAGAAAGAGAAGCCCCTGCAGCCCTTTCTTGACCCCTTCCCCCACCCCACCTTTAATATTTTAGAATCATGGGTTTCCCCCCTCAAAATGGGGATTACTTTCCACCTGTACAATAATATTATTCTGGCCCCACTTTCACTGCCACAGTTCCATCTCCCTGTAAACAGAAGTCCAAGGAGTTGGAAGGAAGAAACCCAAGGGCCAACCAGTCTGCCATACTAGGAGACACAATCCAAACCCTCCTGACAGATGGCCACCTGTCTGTTCAAAAACATCCCAAGATGGAGACTCCAGTTGGCAGCATATTCCACTGTTGAACAGCTCTTACCATCAGGAAATTATCCCCAATGTTCAGATGGAATATATTTTCCTGCAGCTTGAGGCCATTTCTCCATTGTGCTCCAGAGCGGCAGAAAACAAGCCTTGTCACCTTCTCCTCAATGGGACCTCCTTTCCAATATTTAAACTTGGCTCTCCTGACCCTTTCTCCCAGCCTTCTCTTCTCCAAGCTAAACATACCCAGCTTCCTAAGCCTCTTCTAAAAGGGTTTGGCTTCCAGAACTTGGACCATTATGCTGGCCCTTCTCTGGATACTTTCCATCTCGTCCATCTCCTTCTTGAATTGCTTTGCCAAAAATGGGAGGTGGACAAGAAATAAAACTGTTACTATTACTACTACTACTACTACTACTACTACTACTACTAAATGGGCATCATCTTATTTCAAGTGAGATCTGACCAAAGCAGAATTAATGTGAAATCACAATACTGGAAGTGTGTAGTTTGACAAAGTCCCAGAAGTGGATTGCATGCTACTTGCTGTATGTCATTTCTCCTTTTTGTTATGTTTGGCCATCTTTGTGCCCTAGTAACAGGAAATCAGCCCAAAGACCAACAACAGTTGGCCTCCAACTTCCAAGCCCAAAGCTTCATCTGTAATAGTTTGTGACTGTCCTTCCTTCCTTCCTTCCTTCCTTCCTTCCTTCCTTCCTTCCTTCCTTCTCCTTCCTCTCCTTCCCTCCCTCCCTCCTTCCTTCCCCTTTCCTCTTCTTCTTTCTCTCCCTCCTTCCCTTCCTTCTCTCCTTCCTTCCTTTTTCTTCCTTCTCTTCCTTCCTCCTTCCTTTCTCCCTTCCCTCCCTCCTTCCTTCTTTCTTTCCTCTTCCTTCCTTCCCTCCCTCCCTCCTCCCTTCCTTCTCCTTCCTCCTTCCTTCCTTCCTCCCCTCCCTCCCTCCTTCCTTCTTCTCTCCTTCTTCCTCCTCCCTCCCTTCCTTCTTTCCTTCCTTCCTCCCTCCTCCCCTCCTTCCTTCCTCCTTCCTTCCTTTCCTCCCCTCCTCCTTCCTTCCTCTCTCCCTCTCTCCCTCCCTCCTCCTTCTTCCTCCTTCCTCCTTCCTCCCTCCCTCCCTTCCCTCCCTCCCTCCCTCCCTCCCTCCTCCTTCCTTCCTTCTCCTTCTCTTCCTTCTCCTCTCTCCCTTCCTCCCTCCCTCCCTTCCTTCTTCCCTTCCTTCCTTCCTTCCTTCCTTCCTTCCTTCCTTCCTTCTCCCTCCCTCCTTCCCTCTTCCTCCCTCCCTCCTTCCTTCCCTCCTTCCTTCCTTCCTTTCTTCCTTCCTTCCTTCCTTCCTTCCTTCCTTCCCTGTTCCTTTCCTCATCCTTTTTGCAAAGGAGGGCCTTGCTACCAGATCTGAACCCTCATAGGTTCTGACACCTTTCGCTGCAGATTGAAATCTCTGTTACAGCGTAATGAAAGGGATGACAGCATCATCATCATGTTCCCGTGGACATTTTCACTTTCTCGGCTGATGAATCGATAGCTGCTGCCGCCCTTCAGATGGGATTACTTACAGCCCTGGCTTGAACCAGGCGCCGCATCGTTCTGTCATTGTAGCCGAAGAGGCATCGGGAATGGCTTTGCATGTGCTAACTGTCATGCCATCATTGACAATTTGTCTTCCTTGGAAGCACAAAGCGGGAGCAGATGCTGCCTGGTAGCCAGCCCAGCCCTGCTTTGGTTTTGCAAAAATTCAGAGTAGAAAGAGGAGTTCTGACAGAGAATAGAGGGGGAAGGGGACTATATTCCTATCGATGCAGCCTAGAATTGCATTGGCCTTTTTGGCTGTCTTTGCAACCCTGCTCTTTCCACTCATCGGACTCTGCCCTGATTTACTGTTGTCTTCTTCTTTTAACCTCCACCCATTGATCTATCTACCCATCTATACCTATAGATACATATATGGGTACAATGGATGGGTGGGATTTCTGGGAATTGTAGGCCAAAACACCTGGAGATCCACAGGTTGAGAACTACTGATTTAGGAGACCTCTCTCTCTCTAAATCCATCTATCCATCTATCCATCTATCTATCATCTATTCATCCATGCATCTATCTATCTCTCCATCCATCCATCCATCCATCCATCCATCCATCCATCCATCCATCCATCCATCCATCCATCCATCCATCCATCTATCTATCTATCTATCTATCTATCTATCTATCTATCTCTCCATCCATCCATCCATCCATCCATCCATCCATCCATCCATCTCTCTCTCTCTCTCTCCATCCTTGCATCTATCTATCTATTTACCCATCCATTGACCTATCTATATATCTATGAATATATATGTGTACTATAGATAGATGGATTGATCGATGGATAGGTAAAGAGAGGGGCACCATGACTAGACTCCTTTGGATGCAGTCCAGAATCCCATTGGCCTTTTTAGCTGCTGCATCACACTCTTGGCTCATGTTCAGCTTCTTCTCCATGAAGACACCAAGATCTTTCTCACATGGACTGCTGCGGAGCCAGGCCTCACTCATCCTATATCTTTGCATTTCATTTTTTTCTGCCTAAGTGTCGTATCATAAGATACTCAAGTCTATCTATCTATCTATCTATCTATCTATCTATCTATCTATCTACCCATCCATTCATCTATCTATCTATCTATCTATCTATCTATCTATCTATCTATCTATCTATCTATCTATTGGTACTATAGATGGATAGATGCATGGATAAAAGGAGGCTTTGTAATTATTTAGGAGATACTCATGTCTATCTATCTCTCCATCCATGCATATATGTATCTATCTACCCATCCATTGATCTATCTATCCATCTATATCTATAGATAGATATATGGGTACTATGGATAGGTATTTGATTAGATGGACCAAGAGAGACTTTGTAATTATTTAGGAGATACTCATGTCTATTTACTTCTCATGCATCTACACATCCATTGATCTATCTATCCATCTATATCTATAGATATGCATCAGTGAAGGCTCTGTCAACATTTAGGACAGTTGACAGTTGAATGTCCTTGTTGACATTCATTGTGTTCGTTTTGGCCAATCATCTCTCTCATCTGTTGAGTTCCTTTTGCATCCTGACCCTGTCCTCTGGAGTATTTGCTCTCCCTCCCCGTTTGGTCCCATCTGCACACTTGACCACCCTGCCCTCTGAACCTTCATCTAAGTCATTAATGAATCATAGAATCATAGAATCATAGAATCAAAGAGTTGGAAGAGACCTCCTGGGCCATCCAGTCCAACCACCTGCCAAGAAGCAGGAATATTGCATTCAAATCACCCCTGAAAGATGGCCATCCAGCCTCTGTTTAAAAGCTTCCAAAGAAGGAGCCTCCACCACACTCCGGGGCAGAGAGTTCCACTGCTGAACGGCTCTCACAGTCAGGAAGTTCTTCCTCATGTTCAGATGGAATCTCCTCTCTTGTAGTTTGAAGCCATTGTTCCCTTGCGTCCTAGTCTCCAGGAAGCAGAAAACAAGCTTGCTCCTCCTCCTCCCTGTGGCTTCCTCTCACATATTTATACATGGCTATCATATCTCCTCTCAGCCTTCTCTTCTTCAGGCTAACATGCCCAGTTCCCTAAGCCGCTCCTCATAGGGCTTGTTCTCCAGACCCTTGATCATTTTAGTCGCCTCCTCTGGACACATTCCAGCTTGTCAATATCTCTCTTGAATTGTGGTGCCCAGAATTGGACACAATATTCCAGGTGTGGTCTAACCAAAGCAGAATAGAGGGGTAGCATTACTTCCCTAGATCTAGACACTATGCTCCTATTGATGCAGGCAAAATCCCATTGGCTTTTTTTGCCGCCACATCACATTGTTGGCTCATGTTTAACTTGTTGTCCACGAGGACTCCAAGATCTTTTTCACACGTACTGCTCTCGAGCCAGGCGTCCCCCATTCTGTATCTTTTCATTTCATTTTTTCTGCCAAAGTGGAGTATCTTGCATTTGTCACTGTTGAACTTCATTTTGTTAGTTTTGGCCCATCTCTCTAATCTGTCAAGATCGCTTTGAATTCTGCTCCTGTCCTCTGGACTATTGGCTATCCCTCCCAATTTGGTGTCGTCTGCAAACTTGATGATCATGCCTTCTAGCCCTTCATCTAAGTCATTAATAAAGATGTTGAACAGGACCCGGCCCAGGACCAAACCCTGCGTCATTCCACTAGAACACAATAGAGTAAAGGATTCAAAGTGCAGGAAAGAAGTAGCTGGAGGTCAGAGCTGTATGAATATGCTGTGGCTTGGGAGTCCTTACTTCCCTGGAGAGCTGTATGGCCATCTGTTGGGAAGGCTTTGACTGTGCCTTCCTGCCTGACAGAAGGGCCTTGGATTGGGTTGCACTTGGGGTTCTCTTTGTAGAATTCTTTCCCTAAATAAAGCTGGATTCACCGGGTCTGGTCTTCTTCTCATTCTTTCCTAGAATGGCAAAGGGAAGAGAGTCTCCGTCCCAACTTTCCTGCTCCACCCTTCTCTTCTCTCCAGACGGATGCAGGCACAATGAATGTCACTAACCTGAGTTTTCCTTCCTGGGATAATTCATGAGGCGGGTCGTTGCATGTCAGCTGCGCGTCTCCATCCCGGAGGTACACGTACACTCTTTCCTGGGAAGCAAAAGAGAAGCAACAGGCATTCATCAGCCAGGGCCATCCTGACCTGCATCAGAGGCAAGCAGGCTCACAGGATTGAATTACAGTGGCGTCAAACTGCAATGGAGGCACACCCAAGATCTATTATTATTATTATTATTATTATTATTATTATTATTATTATTATTATTATTATTTCCAACCATCATGGCTCAATGCAATGGAGGCACACCCAATGTCTATTGTTGTTGTTGTTGTTGTTGTTGTTGTTGTTATTATTATTATTATTATTATTATTATTATTTCCAATCATCATAGCTCAATGAGATGGAACCCTGGGAGTTGTAGTTTCTCAAGACCTCCCACCTCCTCTCCCACCACTTGGCTCAATGCAATGTAATCCTGGGAGTTGTAGTTTTACAAGGTCTCTCACCTCCTCTGCCACCACTTTATTTATCATTGATCAGTGCAATGCAATCCTGGGAGTTGTAGTGTTACAAGGTCTCTCGCCTCCTCTGCCACCACTTTAACTAATATGGCTCAATGCGATGGAATCCTAGGAGTTGTAGTGTTACAAGTTCTCTCACCTCCTCTGCCACCAATTTAATGATCATCAATCAATGCAATGTAATCCTGGGAGTTGTAGTTTTACAAGTCCTCTTGCCTTCTCTGTCACCACTTTAACTATCATTGATCAATGCAATGTAATCCTGGGATTTGTAGTTTTACAAGGTCTCTCGCCTCCTCTGCCACCACTTTAACTATCATGGTTCAATGCAATGTAATACTTAAATGTCTGCCAAAAAGCCAGTAAAACAGTGGCCAGACAAGCTTCTATAGTAAAGCATTCCTAAATAAGATTGTCACCATATTTTTTTAAAATGAACACTCAGCTTTATTCATTCATTTGTTCATTCTATTAAAAATTCCTCAAGGTATTACACTGCAATGAAGAAGTCATTCAAAACATACATAAAGGGCAACAAAGCACATTAAACTAGACTTTCTCTGTTCACAAAAATCATTAAGTTTTCTCCTATGCCACCCACCAAGTTAGTCAGTCAAGATTTCTTTCAGTAGAGTTAATAGACAGTATTGTTGTTCTTCAAAAGTTATCCAAAAGGCTCCTGTTTTAATGATCATCAATCAATGCAATGTAATCCTGGGAGTTGTAGTTTTACAAGTCCTCTTGCCTTCTCTGTCACCACTTTAACTATCATTGATCAATGCAATGTAATCCTGGGATTTGTAGTTTTACAAGGTCTCTCGCCTCCTCTGCCACCACTTTAACTATCATGGTTCAATGCAATGTAATACTGAGATTTGTAGGTTTACAAGGACTCTCACCTTCTCTGTCCTCATTTTAACTATTATGGTTCAATGCAATGCAATCCTGGGATTTGTAGGTTTACAAGGTCTCTCACCTCCTCTGCCAACACTTTAATTATCATTGATCAAGGCAATGTAATCCTGGGATTTGTAGTTTTACAAGGTCTCTCACCTCCTCAGCCACTACTTTAATTATCATTGATCAATGCACTGCAATCCTGGGTGTTGTAGTTTTACAAGTTCTCTCGCCTCCTCTGCCAGCACTTTAATTATCATTGATAAATGAAATGTAATCCTGGGAGTTGTAGTGTTACAAGGTCTCCTGCCTGCTCTGCCATCACTTTAACTACGGTATTATAACTCAATGCAATGCAATCCTGGGATTTGTAGTTTTACAAGTTCTCTTGCCTCTTCTTTCACCACTATAATTATCATTGATCAATGCAATGTAATCCTGGGATTTGTAGTTTTACAAGTCCTCTTGCCTTCTCTGCCACCACTTTAACTACGGTATTATAACTCAATGCAATGCAATCCTGGGATCTGCAGTTTTACAAGTTCTCTCGCCTCTTCTGCCACCACTATAATTATCATTGATCAATGCAATGCAGTCCTGAGATTTGTAGTTTTACAAGTTCTCTCGCCTCCTCTGCTACCAATTTAATGACCATCAATCAATGCAATGTAATCCTGGGAGTTGTAGTGTTACAAGCTCTCTCACCTCCTCTGCTTTAATTATCATTGATCAATGCAATGTAATCCTAGGAATTGTAGTTTTACAAGGCCTCTCGCCTCCTCTGCCAGCACTTTAATTATCATTGATAAATGAAATGTAACCCTGGGAGTTGTAGTGTTACAAGGTCTCCTGCCTCCTCTGCCATCACTTTAACTACGGTATTATAACTCAATGCAATGCAATCCTGGGATCTGTAGTTTTACAAGTTCTCTCGCCTCTTCTGCCACCACTATAATTATCATTGATCAATGCAATGCAATCCTGAGATTTGTAGTTTTACAAGTTCTCTCGCCTCCTCTGCTACCAATTTAATGATCATCAATCAATGCAATGTAGTCCTGGGAGTTGTAGTTTTACAAGGTCTCTCGCCTCCTCTGCCACTACTTTAATTATCATTGATCAATGCGATGTAATCCTGGGAGTTGTAGTGTTACAAGGTCTCCTGCCTCCTCTGCCATCACTTTAACTACAGTATTATAACTCAATGCAATGCAATCCTGGGATCTGTAGTTTTACAAGTTCTCTCACCTCTTCTGCCATTACTATAATTATCATTGATCAATGCAATGCAATCCTGGGAGTTGTAGTTTTACAAGTTCTCTCGTCTCCTCTGCCACTACTTTAATTATCATTGATCAATGCAATGTAATCCTAGGAATTGTAGTTTTACAAAGTCTCTTGCCTCCTCTGCCACCACTTTAACTATCATTGATCAATGCCATGGAATCCTGGGATTTGTAGTTTTACAAGTTCTCTTGCCTCCTCTGCCACTACTTTAATTATCATTGATCAGTGCAATGCAATCTTGAGAGTTGTAGTTTTACAAGTTCTCTCGCTTCCTCTGCCACTACTTTAATTATCATTGATTAATGTGATGTAATCCCAGGAGTTGTAGTTTTACAAGGTCTCTCACCTCCTCTGCCTCCACTTTAACTATCATTGATCAATTCAATGGAATCCTGGGAGTTGTAGTTTTACAAGGTCTCTCACCTCGTCTGCCAAACAGTACTGGTGCATTACCAAACTAGAACTCCCAGGACTCCATAGAACTGAACCATGGCAGTTCAAGCGGTGTCAAACGGCATTCATCCTGCAGTGTAGACACATCGTCGAATCCGTAAAGCAGAAAAGTCAGCCAAACACAGGGTAATACATTATTGCACATACATAGGTAATCAATCTTGAGACATAGGTCAGAACTTGCCAGCAAAGAAAGAAAGGAATCCAGACCCTTCCTCCCTCCTTGTGTGTGTGATATGAATAAGTGCACACCTGCTCCCAGGACGACATCGGGAGAGCCATTGTACTGCGTGTACCTATTAGGCCCTGCAGGACGCTGGAGCTTAAAAGGAGGCCAACTTTGGATCCAGGGAAATAATCATAATAATTGGTAATAACTCTCATTGTATACTTTGAAATATACTTTGCAAGTGCATATGAAAAGAAATGGAGCATTCCATTAGAACAGCGAGGAGAACGCCCAGGTTTGCAAGGGTTTGGCATTGAGAAGTGACTCCCCATCCCAGCACTCTTTGTTTCCCCCATTTTACCATTTTCTCCTCCCTCCCTCCCTCCCTCCCTTCCCATTCTCTCACTCTTTTCTCCTTCCTTCCTTCCTTCCTTCCTTCCTTCCTTCCTTCCTTCCTTCCCCCTTCCCTTCCTTCTCCTTCTCGTTCCTTCCTTCCTTCCTTCCTTCCTTCCCTCCTTCCTTCCTTCCTTCTTTTTTCCTTCCTCCTTCCTTCCTCCTCCTCCCTCCTCCTCCCTCCCTTCTCCTTCTTTTCTCCTCCCTCCCTCCCCATTCTCTCTCTTTTCTCCTCCCTTCCTCCCTCCCCATTTTCTCTCTTTTCTCCTTCCTTCCTTCCTTCTTCTTCCTTCCTTCCTTCCTTCCTTCCTTCCTTCCTTCCTCTCTCTCTCTTTCCTTCTCTCTCTTTTCCCTCTCCTTCCTCCCTCCATCCTATTCTTCTCCTTCCTTCCTTCCTTCCTTCCTTCCTTCCTTCCTTCCTTCCTTCCTTCCTTCCTTCCTTCCCTCCCTCCCTCCCTCCCTCCCTCTCTCTCTTTTCCTTTCTTTCTCTTTTCTCCTCCCTCCTTCCCTCCCTCCTTCCTTCCTTCTTTTCCTCCTTCCTTCCTTCGTTCCTCCCTCCTTCCCTTTCTCTCTTTCTCCTTCCTTCCTTCCTTCCTTCTTTCCTTCCTTCCTTCCCTCTCCTTCCCTTCCTTCCTTCCCTTCCTCTTCCTTCTCTCTCTTTCTTCTCCTCCCTCCTCCTTCCCTCCCTCCTTTCCCTTCTCTTTTCTCCTTCCTTCCTCTTCTCTCCTCCCCTTCTCTCTTCCTTCCTTCCTTCCTTCCTTCCTTCCTTCCTTCCTTCCTTCTTTTTTTCTTCCTTCCTTCTCTCTCTCTTCTTCTCCTCTTCCCTTCCTTCCTTCCTCCTTCCTTCTCTTTTTTCCTTCCTTCCTTCCTTCCTTCCTCCCCCCCTCCCTCCCTTCTCTCTTTCTCCTCCCTCCCTCCCTCCCTATTCTCTCTCTTTTCTTTCCTTCCTTCCTCCTTCCTTCCTTCCTTCCTTCCTTCCTTCCTTCCTTCCTTCCTTCCTCCCTGATGCATCCCAGTTCAAGAAACGAGACCATATGATTAAATCCACCACACTGGACTGTAGGAAAAGCAATCCTTGTTTATTGATGAAAAATTGGTTACAAAAGATAGGTAAATGCAAAGTCAAAAAGCCACAGAAAAACACAGCAGTCAGTAGAATCTCTGAACTTGAGCAAAATTTCAAGAAACATTCACACCTAGCTCCAGCAGACAAGAGTCCTTTGTCCCACCCTGGTCATTCCACATATATATAAACCATTTTCCTACTTCCAACAGACCTCACTACCTCTGAGGATGCTTGCCATAGATGCAGGCGAAACGTCAGGAGAGAATGCCTCTAGACCATGGCCATATAGCCCGAAAAAACCT